TAGAGTTGGCAGCTATTGTGCATGTAATTTGGAGGCACTACCTCTACGGAGTGTCTTATGAGGTATTTACAGATCACCAGAGTCTAAAGCACTTATTCAAACAAAAGGATCTAAATTTGAGACAGCGCAGATGGTTGGATCTACTAAAGGACTGCGATATTACTATTTTGTATCATCCCGGGAAGGCCAATGTAGTGGTCGATAGCTTGAGTAGAAAGGGGGTGAGTATGGGTAGCCTTGCTTTTATTCCTGTTGGTGAGAGGCCACTTGCATCAGATGTTCAGGCTTTAGCCAATCAGTTCATGAGGTTAGATGTTTCGGGGCCCAGTCGGGTTCTAGCTTGTGTAGTTTCTCGGTCTTCTTTATATGACTGCATTAAAGAGCGCCAGTATGATGATCCCCATTTGCTAGTCCTAAAGGACACAGTTCGGCACGGCGATGCCAAAGATGTTACTATTGGAATGATGAAGTGTTGAGGATGCAGAGTCGGATTTGTGTGCCAAATGTAGATGGGCTGCGTGAGTTGATTCTTGAGGAGGCCCATAGTTCGCAGTATTCCATTCATCTGGGTGCCGCAAAGATTTATCAGGACTCGAGGCAGCATTATTGGTGGAGAAAGATGAAGAAATATATAGTGGGGTTTGTAGCTAGGTGTTTAAACTGTCAGCAGGTGAAGTATGAGCATCAGAGACCAGGCGGATTGCTTCAAAGACAAAAAGGTACTACTCAGAGTTTCACCTATGAAAGGTGTCATGAGTTCGGGAAGAAGGGCAAGTTGAGTCCTTGGTATATTGGGCCTTTTAAAATACTTAAGAGGATAGGATAGGTGGCTTATGAACTTGCATTGCCACCTAGTCTATCGGGTGTTCATCCAGTGTTTCATGTATCCATGCTCCGGAATATGTCGGAGATCTGTCTCATGTTATGGATTTTAGTACGGTTCAGTTGGATGGTTGATTTGACTTATGATATGGAGCCGGTGGCTATTTAGGACCGGCAGGTTCAAAAGCTAAGGTCAAAGAACATAGCTTCAATGAAAGTGTAGTGGAGAGGCCAGCCAGTCAGAGAAGCTACTTGGGAGACTGAGCGGGAGATGCGGAGCAGATATCCACACCTATTTGAGACTTCAGGTATGATTCTAAACCCGTTTGAGGACGAACGTTATTTTAAGAGGCGGAGAATGTAACGACCCGGCCGGTCGTTTTGAGTATTACAGCCCCGTTTCCCCATTTACTGAATATTTTATACTCAGTGGTAATTATGTGACTTGTCGGGGAGGTTTCAAAATGAATTGGAACACTTAGTTCTAAGATTTAAAGCTTAAGTTGAAATAATTGGCCGGAAGATGAATTATGTGTAAACAACCTCGGAATAGAATTTTGATGATTCCAATAGCTCCGTATGGCCATTTTGGACTTAAGAGTGTGTTCGGATATTTATTTGGAAGTCTATAGTTGATTTTTGCTTGAAATGGCAAAAATTGGAAATTTAAGGTTTGAAAGTTTGACCGGGAGTTGACTTTATTGATAACGGGCTCAAAATCTAGTTTTGGAAATTTTTATAGGTCCGCTATGTCATTTATGACTTGTGCGCAAAAATTCTGGAGTGGAAATGGGAGCGTATCACCATGGACTTCGTAGTTGGACTCCCACAGACTTCGAGGAAGTTTGACACTATTTGGGTGATTGTGGATCAGTTGATGCTTCGGAACGGTTTGCTAAGATTTATATCTGCAAGATTGTTTGCCTTCACGGTGTGCCAGTGTCCATCATTTCATATCGGGGCATGCAATTTACATCACAGTTTTGGAGAGCAGTACACCGAGAGTTAGGCACACAGGTTCAGTTGAGTACAACATTTTACCCTCAGACGGACGGACAGTCTGAGTGCACTATTCAGATATTGGAAGATATGTTATGCGCTTGTGTTATATATTTTGGGGGATCTTGGGATTAGTTTATGCCGCTTGCAGAGTTTTAATACAATAGTAGTTACCAATCGAGCATTCAGATGACTCCGTATAAGGCTTTGTATGGAAGACAGTGTCGCTCTCCGGTGGGTTGGTTTGAGCCCGGTGAGGCTAGGCTATCGGGTATTGATTTAGTTTAGGATGATTTGGAAAAGGTTAAATTGAATACCAAGTCAATGCACCTCCGGTGAGGGTTTTGCCGAACTTCTTCAGTAAGATGGAGGATACCTGCTCTTTGGCGAGATCATTGCCTTTCACTGCGATGACGCAATGGGTCACATGATCTTCAGGGTCCGTTGTGCCGTCGTATATTTTCAGGTACGGCGGCATTTTAAAGGTCTTAGGTATGGCGTGCGGTGCAGCTTCGTCGCTATATGGCTGCTTAACAAATCGACCGGCGTCCCTTTTTGGTAGAAGTTTTGGCACCCGGTATTTTGTCTACCCTTTCTTGGTGCTCTTTCATTTGGTTGCGGAGTATTTTATTCTCGTTCTCGATTTCCTCCATCTTCTTCAAAATGGATGCGAGGGTATTGTTACCTGCATCATTAGCATTGTGAGTAATACCTGCGAGGGTGTTGTTACCTCCATCTTGGTGCTCTTTCATTTGGTTGCGGAGTATTTCATTCTCGTTCTCGATTTCCTCCATCTTCTTCAAAATGGATGCGAGGGTGTTGTTACCTGCATCATTAACATTGTGAGTAATACCTGTTGCAGAGGGGGTGTGCTGTTCGTCAACTGCTAGTGCAATGCCGACCCTTGCCTCTTCTCTGCTCGGCCTTTGAGCGGGCTTGTCGTGGAAATCGGTTAGCGTGTTTTTCAACCACGCCTCAAGTATCTTTTTCACTGCCGGTGGTGCCTCTTCTGTTGTGGATGTAGAGGCTCCTTTACCGTGCGAGATCGTGATGCTACCGTGAGGTGGGGGCGAGCCGTTTCGCCTGGGAGAGGTATTTGGTGTTAGATCTTCGCCCTCCGTTTCATCCACTTCGTTGATGGTGTTGAGAAGATTGGCGGTGAGGTCGGCTATCGCCTTCCACTTTTCCTCTCTGTTGCTTGCCATGTTAGATTTGTGTATACGAGGAAATATAGGGTTTTTGCAAATTTTGTTTTTTTAGATCTAGAAGAGACGAAAATTTTAACTAGAAAATCCCCACAGACGTCGCCAAATTGTTGACCAAAAAGTTTAAAGCCTTTTGGTTAAACTAATTAAATAAGAAGCTAGTAGGTAAATTCTAGTTAAACATAATAAATCCTAGATCTAAAATCGGTTTATGCAAACGACGTAGAACTGCATTTAAACCAATTTAATACAACAGGTATTAAATGGCACTGTTATAAGTGTATGGGGGAACAATAATAAGCAATAAATTTGTTAAATGACAATAGATGTAAATAGAGAGAATGATTCACCCAAATATTGAATGAGGTGGATGATTCTTCTCTCTGACAGTGATGTAAGACAAACAAACATGGGAATATAGGGAGCTTTCTCGAATCTGATGCGAGAAAGTCTGGGACGAACAACAAATTGAATCTTTATGGAAAGACAATGTTTGTAATTTACTTGAGAGTCAACTTTTCATGAGAGATCTTATGATATAGAATATTACATGCCCCTTTCTTCTCTCCCTTTCCCCTTATATGAGACATATCCCTTACCTAACTCAAAGTACAAGTACAGAGAATATTCGGTGAAATATTCCCCTAAAACATTTCACTACAAAACTAGCCGTTATGGCCGGCCAGAATTCCTGACCTCGGCTCCGATTAATCAGCTCGCCCATTGGTTTCCTTAATCTTGTGCAAGACCTCGGCCTAATCGCATCTAACCTCGTGCCAGATTTCCGTAGTCAGATTTTGATCCATACAGTTTCCTTCGAAGTTTGGGGGAATAGGACAATATGGTCCCAGGTTAATGTTTAATGCAGTTATTAGCTCCCGCTGGCCTCTTGTGGTACACTCCATATTTGGAGCTCCCTAAATGACATGCATTTGCAATTTTTTTTTCTTTAGTCCCAAGAGGTGCTAGTTTTTTTCTGATGATAATTCTAATAATATTTTTCATTTTAAATTACTTTGTAGTACCAATATTTTCTATGTAGTACGTATATAGATATTTCATTACTATTTCAAAATTATTATTGAACGAATATTAGGCTTTAACTCTTGTTCTCTGAAATCTGAATGCCGGAACTTTTTTTGGGACAAAGCAGTAATTATCTTAAGATTTTTGCCCATCATTTTCTTCTTGATGTAATTTATTTACTCCTATTGTTTAACATACCATTTCAATACAGATAAAATATGTAACATTAAGAGCTGAAATCAATTTTCTCCCAAGCTAGAGCTAGATTCAAGTTAGATATAACCAACAACAAAAAATCAGGTATTGAAAAGAAGCATAAAAGAAAAAAGAGTCTAATAAACATACGTAAAGAACGAGAGAAGTGTATAGCATGATTACCTTTACCCTGATGTCTCACTTTTTCTTCTCAACCTAAAATGGGATCACAAGCAAGTGAAATGGGATGAACGAAAATCACCATCCTTATAGCTTAATCTTTAATGAGATATCTCGAATTCAAGAAAAAAAAATCTAATAAAATAGTAGTTCTTTTCGTACTGAAATATACACAGTTCTAGTATTATTTAGTCGAGTTAAATAGCAGATTTTTTTTATATAAGATGATTAAAAGAACATACTAGAATATCATAATTAATTTTTAAACATATATCTTAAAGCAATTTTAAAATTCCTTTATCAACAGTTTATATACAATAAAAATATCATTTTATCTTATATTATACAATATAATTTTTACGAATAAGATCCAATTGCATTCTTTTCTTATCACCTAGCTCTATATATTACGATCGAGTTAGTGGATCTCAAATACATATAAATGCATAAACAAAAAGAAAATAAAACAGCAAAAACAGGTGATGAGGTGCAACATGAGAATACACATTAATCCACCACGTCACTTTTAGGTGAAGTATATACATTAAAATGTTCTTTTATACCCTTCTCTTCCTTCTTCCGTGTTCTTACCTTGGCTTCATTCTCAACAACCTCCCCACATTTTTTTACTTTCTTATTAAAAGTTAGTTGGGAATTGGGATAAACACTCAATTGTCACATTTTTCTTTATACCATTAATTATTATTACAACATCATCATCTTCCTTCATTAATATTTTAGTATTAGTATATTACTGTTTTCAAAACATATTGACACTTTTTGAGAGACCAAAAAATCATGAAGGCTGCGATTAGCAACAACGTTAATTACAAGAAGCAATTCTCTGTGGTGTTTATAAAGTTTGCTGTCTGTTTTCTGTTGATGGGTTTTGCTTATCGTTTATTCTTGTCCAGCTTTCTACAATTTTCCACTGTTGAGGTTTCTGACACTGCTTTTGTTTCCAACAAGACATCCAGTGATCTTACAATGAACAGAAGTACTTCACAAAATGGTTAGTTCAATCTTACCACTGTAATAAAAATTTGATTCTTGAAATATCCTTCTTTATTTTTCTCCTTATTATTTTTCTTTTAGTATATTTTTTCTACATTCTGAATTTTGTTGTAAAAATGACGTGGGTGGTTTTCTTTTACTTCTTTAGAGAAACTTGGTGCTTGATTTACTGTTTGTTGGAGCTAAAAGAACAAGTCTTTCATCAAATTCTGCTGTTTTGTGAGAAAAGCCCTTAAGAAAAGGAAATAGGAAAATTTATAGTAAAAGACGGATTACTGGGATAACCAACTTAACTTTTTCAGTTAATTTAAATAATAAAAAATAAAAAATTAGCCACTCCCTTGGTTGGGTGAAAGTAATTACTTGCTTGAACTCGATGCTTAACCACAGTTATAAATTAAAGTGAGAATACTAATCAATTAACCACAGTTAGGTGATATATGTGTTTATAAAAGATACATGTCTTGTATTCATCAGTTTGGTGTAAACATTCCCGTAAACAACGGGTACGATATATGTGAATGTTGGTATAGTGAAAAATTAGCATTTAGTACACATGGACAAGGGGAGATTAGAATGAAAATCAAGATTGAATTGTGATTTTGGTGAATGAGTGGTGCTTTGAGTTTGCTATTGATGAGATTCACTGATCCTTCACAAACTATGTTTTCATTTTGGGTTTTAAGATATATTCACAGACAGTGTAAAGAATTAGTAATTTAATCGATTATAGCAGGTTGTTACAATATTTTACAAGTTAACGCTCCGAACAGGGGCGAAGCTATGTGTGGCCAAGGGTCGTCAACTGAACACCCTTCGCCGAAAAATTATACTGTGTATAGGATAAAATACTACTAAAATAGACTTTGAACACCCTTGCATAGTCCACTAGCAAAAGTTATTCAAATTCTGAACACCCTTATTGAATTTTCTGGCTCCGCCACCGGCTCCGAAGAGTTATTGACCTGATGATAGTCCATATTTTTGCAGGAAAATGCGATTTATTTAAAGGAGATTGGGTTCAAGATCCGACAGGTCCATTTTACACTAATCACACTTGCTATTCAATTGAAGCTCACCAAAATTGTATGAGAAATGGGAGGCCTGATACTGGCTATCTTTACTGGAGATGGAAACCCAACCATTGTGAGCTACCTAAATTCAATGCCAAGAAGTTCCTTCATATGATGCGGGGAAAATCGTTAGCTTTTGTTGGTGATTCAATTATGCGCAATCATGTACAGTCATTGCTTTGCATTCTTTCTCAGGTACATTTACTTGAATTGGCTGCTATAAATTTACTTGTGTCTGCGTTATTTGTCTATTTATCTAGGCTAATTCTATTATTCGAAGTATGGGGTGAGGCTGTAGTCAGAGGTGGATATAAGATTTAAACTTTATGGGTTCAATCTTTAAGATTCTTAGCACTAAACTAGTTTACTTCTAAAATTATGGATTCCTAATGTAATATGTATTTGTTAAAATTATAGTGAATTTTCACTATATATTCAAGATTTGTGTCAAAATTACTGGTTTCAGATGAACCTGTAGTTTATGAACTCCATCTGCCACTGGCTCTAGTGGTTCTAGGTTGTGTTTATTAGGTTGTAGGACTGACAGCAATGGAAAGCTAAAACAGAGGCCAAAGAGGTTCTTGATCTATTGATTCCACTACTTTATTGAGAGTGAAAAGAATTTACTTAACTAAAACTTCGCTAGTATAAGTAAAAAAGCTAACCAGACTAGATGAAAATAACATCAAGTAAACAACGCAGAAAAAAAAGAAGAAAGAAAAACTCATTTGGCTGATCTCAGACTAGGTGAGAAGGCAAACTAACTCTTCAATGAAGTAAATTAGTACTAATTAGACATTTAGTGACTAAACGACAACGTCGGTGTAGGAAAATAATGTGAGATATGAGTAGGGTAGTGCTAATTCTGCATCCACAGTTATTTTGGTTCCTTTCTTAGGAGAACATCAAATCGACCATTTTCATTTGCTTCGAGACAAACAAATACCTCAATACTATGAACAGGCTCAAAAGCTCACTATTGTATGAAGAAAGATTCCAGTGAAAAGGCATCTTCTGCTGTTTATACTAAGTTAAAGTTTGGATCTGCATAAGACATGTCTTTAATTGGAGTTAGCCCGACAAATGGACGAAAAAATGTCATTCTTCAATGATGGTCAAGTCCAAAACTTGCTTGCTGGTGAAACTCATCATGACTTGGATGTTTTCTTTAACTACTTATTAACATCAATAATTACTCTTATATGGTCAATATAGATCTCAATAAAAGTTATTCGTCATTGTTAGGTTTATTCAATAAAATTTGTCGGACAGTCTTGTTTTATAAGCTGGTGTTGTATCTCTCAGCTCATAATATCGGGCCTTGCTTTGGAGATGGCTTACCTTCTCATGTTGGCTCTCACAACTTTTATAAGTAATGTCTCTCTCAGCTACATCAGTATTTGTCTTTGAATACAGCTGGTAAAGTTTTCCAGTTGAAACATTTCAGTTCAAGTTGTTAATCAGTTAAAACTTATTATCATACCAAACTACTCCAACCATTCTAGTACAGCTCAAATTTTTAAGTTCCATCAATTGTGGGGTGATGATGTCCTTTGACCAGGAAATTAAATGAGTAAAAAAGGCAGCCCGGTGCACAAGACATCTCGCGTTCACGCAGGGTCCGGGTTAGGGCCGCATCCCAAGGGGTGTGATGTAGACAGCTTACTCTAATCAGAGGCGGACCTATGCTATACCGAGAAGGGGTCACAGACACCCGTAAAGTTCGGCAAAAATTCTACGTATATATGTATATGTCTTTAGAAAATAGTGATATATTAGTAGTGGACACCCTATATACAAAGCAAATTTTAGTTGAATCCAAAATTGCACCCTTGACCTTTAAATCCTGGGTCCGCCTCTGACCTTAATGCAAGCATTAGTGGTTGCTTCCATGCCTCGAACCCGTGACCTATAGGTCACGGAGATAACTTTACCATTGCTCCAAGGCTCCTCTTCGACCAAGAAAAATGAGTATCTTGGGTAGAGTAGGGTAGTGCAAATTCTGCATCTTTTTGAAAATTAATGAGTATTTTTGCGACTCTTACTCACAGAAGCACTGTTGAGTATTTTTGGAAGTGGCACTTCGCTTTCATTTATTGTTTGCTTGCCTATCGTTCTGGGATATTCATTACTAGCTGGAATGCGTCAAGTTCTAGTTATGTTATAATGGGTCGTCTAGTACATCAAAGAATTCAGTATCTGGATTCATGTTTACGTTGTCGTGCAGGAGGAACAAGGTGATGAGGTCTACCATGACAAGCAATACAAAAGCAGAAGATGGTATTTTCCAACTCATGACTTAACTCTTTCAGTAGTTTGGTCACCTTTTCTTGTAAAAGCCACTATTTTCGAAGATAACAATGGAGTTTCAACCGATACAGCCCAGCTTCACCTTGACAAACTCGATGATGTTTGGACTCGACAATTTGACAATTTCAATTATGTAGTTATTGCTGGAGGGAAATGGTACCTGAAATCTGCAGTTTACTACGAGAACAACAAGATTGTTGGGTGCCACAATTGCCCTGGTAAGAACATAACAGAAGTTGGATTTGAGTATGCATATCGCAAAGCACTGAATTCGACTCTGAAATACATCACCAGCTCGAAGCACAAGGTGTATACTTTCCTTAGAACCACGACACCGGATCACTTTGAGAACGGTGAATGGAACACCGGAGGTTATTGTAATAGAACAGATCCTTTGAAAGAAGGCGAGATTGACCTTAGAGACATCGATGTGGTAATGCGTAAAATTGAGTTGGAAGAATTTGAGAGAGCTTTGAGAATAGGTTCTGAAGTTGGGTTGAGAATAAGGTTGTTTGACACCACTTTCCTTTCGTTGCTTCGGCCAGACGGTCACCCAGGAGTCTACAGGCAATTCCAGCCATTTGCAGGAGACAATAGACACTCAAAAGTTCAAAATGATTGTCTACATTGGTGCTTGCCTGGTCCAATAGATTCTTGGAATGATTTAATGATGGAAATTTTGGTCAGCAGTTGAAATGGGAATTGCATTTTTTTTTTCCCTCGGAGAACTGTTTTCATCTGCAATATTTTTACAAGCACAGGAAAAAGAATCTGAGATGGCCTTTAATCATTTTTTTTCTACAGGCAAATATTGACGGCCACATAGCTGCACATAAATCAGAGTCGGCTCAATAAATATATCTCCAATTCATGTATAATATACCCCTTCTCTTTGAGATTCTTTGATATAAATTGTAAAGTACGAGATTCCCTTTAATTTCTGCATTTTTCATATTTGAAAGCCAGAGGGAGAATACTAGTACATGGAGTAATATATAGGCGATCATTTATCATATTCTTTTATCAATTTTCAAACATTTTGGCCTGTTCGTATGCTAAAAACTCAGTTTTCGAAAGACCAGAAAAGCAGACAACAACGTCCCTGTCGTACTTACTGCAGCTATTCATCGCCTAAGCAGCTCTCAATCAGTTTTGCACCCTCGTCACCAAGAAAATTGCTTAAACAAAGTGGAAGATTGGATTATCATAGCATCAGAGATGTCTGCTTTTAAGACAAAAGGGGTGTGGCGAAAATGATAAGACTTCTCCACCCTTAAACAGAATTCTTGAATTCGAGCTCTAAGAATAGAGTCATTTTGATTGGGGGGGGGGGGGGGGTGGGGGGGGGTCGGGGTCTAA